GCTCTGTTCGCTTTCGGTGGGTGTTTTCTATTGCGTTTTGCGAACAAATTCAATTGCAGCACGTGTCGTTTGGCCATGTACACAAATATATGTGAGAGCTTGTCGGTATCATACGTATATATATTTTTGCATCGATATGTTCGTATACATAAAAAAGAATTCTTGAAAGGTTAAATGTCACCAGTAGAACTTTAAAAAAATTGCTCATCAACAAATAAAAGAGTTAAGCAATAACGAAGTGGTATGATCCGATAAAAAATGTTTGTTTACCTTATGGGTACAAATTATTTTAATGTTATTGTAAATAAATAAAATTTTGCACAGACTCTTGTACCATAGCTTTTTCCCGTTCTGCCAAGGATGAACTCGTTTCGCCTTCCCTTCAAATTTAAATTCCAATTCAAATGTCTTGAACATGTAATTTTTCTCTGTGTATGCGTAAGCTTCTGAAGTGTGTGGGCATGTTAAAAGCAACTGACGCCAGCAGTTTTGGGCACTGGACAGCACCGCCCACTTTATCGAGTTTATATTTGTGCGGAAGAAATGTCGCTGGAGTGCAAAAAATGCAAGGCACAACAAACTTGTTTGTCAACCTTCAAGGGGGTGAAAGTGGGCGGTGTTGGTTGTTGGGTGTTGGGTGTTGGGTGCTGGGAGGTGTTCGAGGGCGGTCTGAAGTGTTGGCAGAGACCCTCACGTAGTTGTCTGTGGCCACGAAAAAGTTGCATAAAGTCAACAACTTTCAGTGGTTTAGTGATGTGAAAGTTGCTAAGCCCGAAATGCGGCTCTTGTCTCCACTTTTCCCCCAGCATCTGCAAGAAGGTCAATTACTCGAGGAACTTGAGTTAAAAGGCGTGAGAATACACAAACTGGACAAGGGAGAAATGGACAGATAACTTTGCCAACAAACTTTTCAGATTTTGGTAAAAGATGGCAGCATTTTGGGTGCATTATTAAATTTAGGTTTTTCAACTGCCAAAAATGTTGAGTGTTGAATTAAATTTTCGTTTCTCGGGGGAGGAACAAAACAGACAATTTTATTGTATTTCAATCGCATCTAATCCATTGTGATGGGTGGCCAACCGAAGCTGTCTGGCCAATATCAATCAAAAGTTGGCTACGCCAGATGCCGTAAAACTCAGCAGCTTATCAACGGTTAGAAGGGGCAAAATGGGATAGGAAAACTACACAATCAGCAAAATTAGCGCAATTTGCGCCGCAATTGCAATGGCGAAGGGCTGCAATTTATTTAAATACAACGGCATGTGCAGCCGTCAGCAGTCCCTCGTCAAAGCCAACAATGTTGGCCATGGCAACAGCCGAAAACACACGAAAACACACACACACATACACCCACACCCGCCAACAATTCAATGTGGGAGCGGGGTTTTGAGTGAAATAAAATTTAATGCCATCAACAGGCGTAGAAAGGAGTGGAAGGGGAGCTGGAGTGGTAAAAATGTTTGCGGCGCATAAACAAGAATTGTTGCCACACACAGCACCGGGTAACACGCTAAACCATTAACTAAACAGCTCAAAATAAAACAAAGGCAGTCATAACAGTGCTGGGGAGTTAAAGGTGTTGCAGGGTGGATGCCCTGTGTTATTAGCTCGGTTACCCGCTAATAAGGTTCTAAACAAGCCCATGGTACCAAACATAACTATGTTAACAAATTTATTTTCAACCAAGAAATAGGAAACAATTGTATACCTCATTAAAATTAAGCTAGTTAAAAACATGTATAATTACGGAATACTAAATAGGAAGAAATAATTAGTTGAAATGATTTTTAAAAAAAATATATTAATAAATGCAAACTAAATTTTTCGATTCATCAATTCAGAAATAACAATTTCAAACTAGAAAGTAAACAGCATTTATAAATCTGGCGTAATTAAAAACCTATTAAATATTATTAAATTAAATGTAGAAATATGTTCATCATTAGTTGCATGCAAATATGTAGTTTAGAAAGCTTCACCAAAGCTTTGCCTTCTAATTTAGTTGTTAGCCAATGGAGTCTAGCCGAATCCCGTTCCCAAAAACAATTAAAACTGGAGCCCTCCTCGGTTTTACAGAATATTGGCCTGAAATTTGAGTGGAGGCGGGGAAAGGGGTGGGGAAGGATGGCGCGATTGGAATGCACTCACACCCACGCATGTGCAGGAGCAATAAAAATAGCTGTAACCGAAAAATAGCGGCACTTAATAAAATAAGCGTGTGGCAGCCCCACACAAACACACACACACACATATGTAGATGGTTCAACCCACATGCTGTCAATGCATAAAACAATTTTCCACGGAAATTGCAGTAATTAACTTTAGTACCTGCTTGAGTGACATTGTGAAATTGTCTGTGTGTGTGTGCAGGATGTTGTAGGCCAAAACAGGATGCCCGTCAAAGTGTGTTTGCATGTGGGTTTGTCCCTTTCTATGTAAATTTTGTTTGCACACAAAAAAAATATAATTACTTCATGATTTGATTTTTTTGATACTGAAAAAACAGAGACAAGTTAAAAAAAATATTTTTTGTGATTCTTTTAATTGTTACTTATGTTAAGTTCAGATTTTTTTACTTTAAAAAAATTGTTGACCATTTTGTAGCATACTTTTTGAGCGTATGCACTCAGCGCACACTCTCGCGGATTCCCTTTAAATGAGTTCAGTAACTAAATTTAAAATGTAAATTAAATATGTATTTTTTAAAACAATTGAGGCAGATAAAAACCAACATTACAGTGTCGTGAGCCTCAGTGTTTTTCTAATTCAATTAAAATTGGCAGCTACAGCCGGCAAACACGAAACAGCGACAGCAGCAACAAACATTCAGCCAGTAGCAATGGCGACTCATTAGGAGGTCTGCATATGCAATCGAACACAGACACAGACAGAGCACTCAATCCCCAAATAACCCCAAACACTACCCCTCCCCCTCCCCCATCACCAGCCCCTCCCCCAGTGTAAGCATATGTTTACGCTTGTATTGGTGTTAATGTTAACTGTCACTACATTTGCCTGCAGCATTTTTGGCTTTGCCGCCCCCACGGTTTTTAACTGGGCCGAATGCTCTTGTTGTTTGTTATGTAACTGTAAAAACATGTCAAACCAGCATGAGTGCGTGTATGTGTGTGTCGACGCGTGCAAGTGTGTGTATATGTGAGTGTCCTGTAGGCTGCGTTTTTGTGATTCTGCCAGCATGAATGGCGCACTTTGATCGCCAGAGTTTATAAATAATTCAGCAAAAAACCTTGTATTTTTTAAACACAAACGCTATCAATATCACGCAACTTATATATTTTAACATGAATTTCTAATAACATTTAGGTAAATATACCTACTATAATAAAAACATTAAAAGGCAATCTGCAAAGCAGATTTTAGCTTTTATTTGTTAAACAGCTTTCCTAATTTTTATTTTTGTTAGTCATTATTGGATTTTCTTTTTTTGCTGGTAAATTGATCATTTAACTTTTAAAGCGTCAGTCGAAATACAGAAGTTACACACATTTTAGTATCTTTAGTGCCAATTTTGTTTTGAAGGTGGCTTCTAGGCTTTATCCTATTTATAGTTTTGCAGATTTGGTCGGTTTGTTTGCTATCACACATTTGCCACAACAAGCCACAAAATAAATCATGAAATCATTTTATGAAGGGCTGTGAGCACAAGAAACATTAGACCATAATGGTAAATGGAATTTGCGATGGAGTTTCATTGTTTTATGAACCTAAATTAAGTATACACATATTAAAATGCCACATTGCATGTCAAAACAAACATGTAATGCAGACTCACAATAAGTTAAAACTTAATTATCAGCTTGAATGCTAATCACGTGGAAAACCAAACGAAAGCTTTCAACAAATATTAACTGATTTTCGGGCTTCTATTTATGGCTTACACTTCAGTCCAACTGACTGACTGAGCAATTAAAGCCACACATATAATTTTCGCATTACGAGTCCACAGAATAAATTATAAGCAGCAATTTATTCGAGCATGCATAATAAGCCCACGCACACAAAGTTTCTTTTGCTTGAGTTATTGTCAAAATTATCCCCAATGTCTTTTGCATAATTGTATAGCGTTTTAGTTTTCGGGTGCGTCCCAGTGCCCATTATCCTAGCTAAGCCTTAAAAGTTCATTTTAATCACCCATTCAAGGAGTGTTTACATTGCTGCGTGGGTGAGCGTTTGATTAATGAAGATTAATAAAGGGGAAAATCGTTACCGATCTGTAAAAGGTTAGTTTGATGTGCGTTGGATATGATTTAGGCCCGACAGTTTATTTGCTTGGGTGGATTTTCCCAAATTTTATAGCCAATAATGTGATTTAATTAAGCGATTTGTGCAGATTGAAGCAGTGAAATGAAATAACTCATCTATTTAAGATATAAATTAAATTTTGGCCAGAAATATTTGTTTGACAATTTATGCGTTTGTAATTTTAAAAATTGTTTCTCATTGCTTAATATGTTCTTCGTCAGTAAATTCATACTGACGCTATAATTGAAGCATCGTGACTCGGCGCCACGCTCATATATAAAATGTTATTAAAACGCAGAGAACCAGAAGAGTGAGCACAATGTGAAAACTAGACGCTGTGGCCATTATAACATCGCTTAAAATTTATGACAGCACTTGCGGCATTTCGCGTTGAATTTTATTTATTTATTTCGCCGCCTTTTTCCTCATTGTTCCCATTTCCGAACTTTGCGTGCCGGCAATAAGATTAAATTGCCATTGTTGCCTTGGCAATGTTGGACAAATGAGAACTGTCGGGCACAAGATACGTTTATATCCATCGTAGATAAACAGACAATTGAAAGTCAGACACAGCTGAAAAAATACTCATACCTTTTACGGTGAAGTATTCTTTTTTTTGTTATTTTTCCCTAGATATTATAAGTTGGTTTCTACTATTGAAAATTAAATTAAATGTAATTTAACGCTACTAATGCGATTAACAGTTTATTTTCGTAACTGCTTGGTTATAGTTTTAAGTTACATCTGCTTCAACTGCAACAAAATGAAGTTTTTAATCTGGTTTTCACTGTTTATAGTCTGCTATGAAGCTAACGATTTGGAGAAAAACATAATCCACGGTTAGATCTTTGTTTTGAATACATTTCCAATCTTAGTTCATTTTTTTTTAGAGATTTGCTTGAAGCCTGAAATTGGACCTGCCTGCCAGATACTTAAAACGTATTACTGGAGCGAAGATGAAAAGAAATGCCTGCTTACCAACCATTTAATAGAACCTTGTGGTTTCTTTCACAGTGAGAAAAGATGCAATGAGATATGCATGAAGGAATCCTGGACACTAAATAACTTGGAAAAATATGTACTCACTTTGTCTTAAAATAATAAACTCAATTACAAACTATGTGTAAAAAAACTTATTTAGGTAGTTATGTAGAGATCTATGTGATTAAAAATGTAGCGTGGCTAATTCATTAACTATGGGCTTAGTGCAGTACTTTAAGGTAAATTAGCAGTCACAATGAAGCGTTTGAACTTGTTCGTTGTAATAGCTCTGTTCAGTATTGGCTTTAGTGCCAGCCGTGTTCCCAGTCCAGTGCACAGTAGTGAGTATACAGAATTAGCGTCTGAAAATCATTAAATCACTCACATTTTGTGAAAGATCTTTGCAAGCGAACCGGTGGATCAATAACTTGCTATCAAGACAACACTTGGGGTTTCGATGAGAGGAAGCGAAAATGTTATCGTGTTCGAAAGGCCCAAGCACCTTGCGGGTTTTTCGATGGCGAGAAGGGTTGCCAGGACTTTTGCCTGCATCCTAGCGGAGGATAAAATGTATATTAAATGTATAGCGGGGAAAAAGTGATTTGTTTTTTCCCAATTTTTATTGTAAGTGTTAATGTGCTTCAATTAAAATATCGAATTAAGAGATCAAGTTACAATTTTTTTGTTTTATATTGATCAATTATGTAACTACTGATGTTTAAAACTTTGAAAACAACAGTAAAAACTGGAACAAGTTTTCGTTTGACTAATATTAAGGTAAAGTCTTAACTTCTTTTAATTACTACTGGTTTTCATAGCTAAATATATATCAACACAAATATATATTTTGATTATTCGAATTGGAGCATAGATAAGAATTTTCTTAGTACATCCATGTGTTTTTCTCGTTTGTTTGCCGGCAGAATGAAGTTCATCAGGCAGCTTCACTGGAGCGTGTGTCCTTGGCCGAGCGTTGTCCTTTGCTTTGTTTGTTGTCTGGTTTGCAACTGCCGCTAATGAAACATACTTCTGGCACTTTATTTCATTTGGTCTCTCGCCTCGCCCTAACAATCTCTGTTTCAGCCAAGGACCTACAGATCCCACTCCCCTTGCAGCATTTAGCTCATTTTCGCCGGCTTGGCTCAAGTTTTTGTGTCCTTGGTTTTATTAGATTTTATTTGCTTAGTCTTTATTTGTCTTCAGCCGTCGTTTTCCTTCTTGCCAGCATTAAGTGTCCAATTTTAGTCCAGGGTCTCCACTCGCCGGGGTATTTTTAGGGTGATAATATTTTGCTACCCATTAAATGAAAATTGAAGGAGTTTTTTAGTTCCAAAATGTTACACTTAGTTAAGAAAAATTTCAAAATCATTTTCCAATGACAACCTGTGTAGTAATATCATTTATTTCTTTAAGCATTATTGAAAATAAAAATAAATTACTAAGCTTTACTAAACTTACATTTGGTAAAACAAATCATGAGGAATTTGAATACAATTGGGTTTAAAACTTTAAAGAAAATATATTGTATTTGGAAATGCTTCATTATTAATATTTTTAAGTCAAGACGCTTTAACTGTATTGTTAACATTTCTTAAAATAAAATTTTAAGACATATATTGCGTTTAAAATTGTAGTTTTATTTAGATTTGTTAATATAAAATTTTTAATGGTAATTTATTCTGCGGAAAGCACAAAGTATCAAAATGCCGTAGTAATATTTCTAGCTACTCCTTTTCCTTTTGGCCAGTTTTCTTTTGTGTTCAGCTTTCGCTTGCCACAGCAGAATCCTTGTTGCTGGCTGCCGTTTCTGTTCTATTTGCTTTGGCCTTTTGTTAGTTTGTTTTGAGCAGAGAACTTTGCTCAGCCAGCTGGCCACATATGTATGCCAGCCAGCGCAGCACAGCATCCTTCCTTGGCTCCTTGACATTTTTAAAGCACTGTTTTTTATTTTTCGTTTTTTAGCAAATTCGTCAAGTTTGTAAACACAAATTATGACAATTAAGTTGACTGTTGACTTGTTTGAGTTCGCCGTCTGTAAACTTTGCTTGCAATTTAAAAAAGTCGGCAAATTGCATTAAACTCCTGCCAAAAGCGTTGACAGCGAATTCAATTAGGAGGGCCGTGGAAAAAAGCCACTCGCTTGACATTCCGGATCGAGCTTAATTTTCGTTTTAATCCCCGTGCATCCATTTGCAGTGGGGAAAGTTTTGGGGGCTGCTGCTGTTGGTGGCAGAGGTGGCACAGGTGGCAAGCTCACGCAGAGTTCTTCCTGGGGGCACGGAGGTGTTAAAGGTGGCCTGCAGCCACAATTGTTCATTAGATTAGCAAGTTGGCAGCAAAAGTTTGCAGCCCGGCTCAAATGCCACTTTCACGGCTGCTGACACACTTGACTTGGATTGCGTTGGATTCTCAGCCTCTGGCCCACCAGTTTTCCATTTCCATTTCCACTACCATTCCCATTCCCACTTCTTCTCCTTCTTTTTCGTTTTTGTCATTGGAGGAAATTTTATGAATTTTCTTATCAATTCAAAAGGCGGGAAACGACAGAAATTTACGTGCTCAAAGTGGCAAGTTGTCACAACGACAAGCCAATCTATATCTGTGCAAGTGTGCGAATGTACGTGTGTGTGTGTTAGCCAACTTTTGGCTCTTTTTCGCCTTGATGCTGCCGCTGCTGCTGCACCACCACATCGCTGTCTCAATTTGTCATTGAAGTTGCCGCTGTGCTGCCGATAAGAAAGTTTTCACTTGATATAAGCAAATGCGGCTATTGATGGTAAATGTTGGCAGTTAGTCCGCTCCCTCGACTCTTAGCTGTTTTCAAGATTTAAATTGAATTTTCGAGATTTTTTAAAGAGCAGTCGCTTTGCGTTCTTAAACGAGAGCAAATTGCAAATGATTTGCGCTTGAAAAATGAAAGTGCTTTGTCACCATTAACTCAAATCACTCCCACAATTAAACTTATCTGTAATTGCCTTAAAGTTTGAATTGAGTTTTTAAGAGTTTAAAGAAGTATTATATGCGGCAAGAGGAATATTATATTGAGTGGTTTATCAAAAACCGTTTAGTTCCTTTTAATTTAAAATTGTGAAAGCTTTAATTGAAAGTAATTTTAGTAGTAGGTATAAGCTATTTTCCGAATGCAATTCCATTTAGTTTAAATTAAATAGGTTAAGAAAATCCTTTTTCCGTTTAGTATATTTTAATTAATTCAGTGGAGTGTGAATACTCAGGTTCCATACAATATGCAAATGCTAGTGAAAACAAATGAAAGCGCTTTGTCATTACTTAGCTTGGAGCTCCCCGCCAATTAAACTTATCAGCAGTTTCGCTTTATCTGAATTAAGTTCACACGTGGAGGACACGCAACTGGACTGCGGAAGTGCGGAAAATGCCCGGGGAGAGCGGGGAAAGGGGGAAATGGAAAATGTTTGCCGCCAAGAGGAGCCGCAGACGCTGAAGTGCGTAAGGCAACACTCCTGTGGCGGCGCGTGTTACATAATTAAAAGGCTGCCTCGAGGTGGCAAGAGCGTGGTGGAAATAAGGCGAGAGACAAACTATAAAATAAAGCAAGTGGAGCGCAAATGCGAAGGGGCCAAATATCACAGGGAGCGGCACACTCGAGCGCATAAAAGAGTTTTTATTACCTGACTCCAAAGGGGAGGGCCGGAAATCCTAGTCCTGCGTGGCTCCACCTGAGTAATAGCCAGTGCGCCTCATTGTCCTTTTCCGGTAATAATTCCGCATTTACCCCCAGCTCGGTGGCAACCTAACACGTTTGTTCTGCCGTCTGCCCGGCTAAATTAGCTGTGACAGCCGCGTGGCAAGAGCGTTGCTGCCCGCGTTCCATTCCCCATTTCCCATGTCCTTTGCCTTCGCTTCTGCCTGCAGGACTCTTCGGCGGCTTGAGACATACCTGAGGCGACTGAGGCGACGCCGTGCGACCACGTTATCATTTATAATGAGTTAATTACATTTAATACGCATGTACAATGGCCTGTTGAACATGGCGCACAATTAAATGTGACCCTGGCCAAAGGAGCGTCGCCGGCAATAACAACAAAGGATAACGTGGCCATATCTCTGCGGGTTCGTCTGTATGTGTTTATGTGTGTATTTGCGAGTGTCTGTGTGAGAGTTCGGCGCTTTAAGCAGTCGTTGCGTTTAATGGCTGCTTCGAGGTTTATTAGCTGCTGATTGTAAGCCTAATTACAACTGGCTAAGCTGCTCGAATAGTGCGGTTAAAGTAGTTAAGGTACTCAAGGGAAGGCAGGGAAAGTATGTCCAGAAACTATAAATAAAACTTTAGTAGCTATAACATTTTTTATACAGTCTAGACATTTTATATTCTTTTGCCATATAATCAAACTTTTACATAGCTTTTTCAAAAAGTTATCTTATTACTTTGAATATTTCTGACATAAACATAATAAAAGGGAAAAAAACTTAATTTTTTAGCTAATCAAATATGAATTATTCAATTAACTTTTGCTGGAATCTGTATAAAGTTGTTTACGTTTGATTTATTGGTCAGAGTTTGAAACAGTTATTTTATAAGTCAAATGTTTCCCTTATTTCTAGGAAAAAATGTAATTTTTTCTAAAGCACCTAAAGGTTTTTCATAAATAAATTTATACTTCCCATAAATAAAGTCAGAAAGTTAAAAAAATACATGTTTTTTTGCATTTATGTTTTTAGTGGTTGAGTTTTTACACCTGTTAAATATTAAAAAATGGCATTCTTACTGGTTATCCAGACTTGGAAAAACTTGTCGGTAACTAAAACAATATGCCATTTATCAATAGCCCATTTTTCATATCAGCAGACCGATGCATCGCGATGCAGTGGGAAGACTGAAAACATTTATCAACATCCATTCCAAAAAAACACACCGATTGTGGTGCATACGGGAGTTGGGATCGGCAATATTACGTATACGTGACGGTGACTGGAAATGGAAAATCCATTCCCGACGCCTTTTGGCGACAAATTCTTTGCAGACATCTAAGCATTTAACAATTTGCGACCACGCCCATACAGACTCCCACTTTTGGCTGCCGGCCATTGCATTTCTCGGAAGACTTAAAAAAGCCCAAAAAGCAACCAAAAATTATTTTAAACCACAATTTTGGGGTTCGTTTTGCTTCAGCTCTTTTTAGCAAATAAAAACTCTGCTTTGTGCCTCCTGTAGTGCCTCGTGTCCAGGCTCTTGCTACTGACAGCTGCAAAATTTGTGCGCTCTTGTTCATTTGTTTGACTGCCCATTGTTGCTGTCAGTGAGTCTGTGTGTATGTATGTGTGTGTGTGTGTGTGTGTGTGTGGGAGAGTGTGCGAGTGAGTGTTTGGTTGTGTGCGCTTGTTTGTTGTTATGCCAAAAATTGAACACACAAAGCAATTGCCATGCAACATTTGTGCAGACATGGCCCAGAGTAAAAAAAAACCCAAAAATCCAAAAAAAAAAAAAAAAAATTACAAATAAAATTGCTGTACAATTGAACGAGTACAAAGGCCTTCCATGTGTATGTGTGTGTGAGCTGGAACGCTTAATAGTTTTATTGCCGGCCACAAGCGTTCTTGATACTCAGCAATCACAGTCTTTCATGGAATGGCAGACTTCTTTTAAAGTGGTTTAATTGAGACACTTTCAGTTTTAAAAGAAACTCGAAAAACTAATTTTTTTATAACTTATTATTTGCTTTTCAAAATTTCTTTTATAGATGAAGATTTATTTTATTGGGCAAATAATCTTAGTCACCACGTATCATAATATCGAAATTTTCCACAATTGTCCACAATTACATACTTAGATTTGTGTGTTTATTTTACTCTAAGTTTAATAATACCTTAATTAGATTCAAATACAAGAGAATAACTTAATTAAATATCTGAAATCAATTGATTTTGAAATCCCTTAGGAAGGGGTATTATTGTAACGACTCTGTAAGGCTCACAATAAAATTTGATGGAACATTCTTGGCCAGCACATTCGTTAGTTGTCATGTCGTGTGGTCGATTGTTTATTGTTAACATGGTCAATTCAACGCCACCCATCCAGCAGCCTGGGGTCTTTAGATATATATTTCTGAAAATATCAAATTACTTGGCTTTCTTCTGATGCGGCTCAAGAATGTATATCTTGAGCAATTTGTGGCTTTGGCTTGGCTGTCAGCACAGTTCGCATTCAGAGACAAATTAATCCGTTTTCAGCTGCCTGTCAGGGCCAAGTTGATAGACGGAGCTTGAGATTCGGCCCAGAAGGGCGGCTTTAACACTTTAAGACCACTGAACTGCAGCTGCTCGGCCTGGCAATTCTGGCTAATTAGGAACTAGATTTCGGCACGGTCTCGGCTGAATGTGCGTCAAGTGCTGAAATGGCTAATGCACTTTACTGTTGCCACTGTCGGCCGAAAAGGAAGCTGGCCGCTCATCCGTGGGCGGGGAAATATTTTATGGGCCGACCAAAGACGAGCTGACCGACTTCATCATCAACAAAGCTGGCGCCTCGAGCGCAAATTTCAATGCGTTCCAGCATTAAATAAATGTCCACTAAAAGTGTCCCTGGCATTGTTGTTGCTGCCCTTGGGGGCGTGGCAGAACAGGGGCGGCCAGGCGGATGAAGAACAAAAAGATAATGGGGCTGAGCTCAGAGGCGCTTTGCACACCTGAAACATTTTGTGGCACGTTTTGTTTTCAGCTAATATTCAGAGTAATGTAAATTGCGACTCGAAGTCTTGCTTGAGTTTGTAATTGACCTTCGTTTTATTTGTGAAAATTATCTTTATAGAGAAAATATACTTTAGGTAACAGTTCTGCCATTTTTGCCATTAAACCAAGTTTTTGTAACTAACGATTTTAAAAGAAATTATCATACATTTGGAATATAAATATTTAAATTCTTATTAAAACAAACACCTATTTTTTCTTTTTTGGCTATTTATGAAGGGGTTAAAATGCAATTAAACAAATAAAGATTAAAGATCAAACAAAAGAAAGTAATCTACATACAAATTTATAAAATAAATACATAACCTAGATTTATATAGTTCATATAGGTTTCGTGTGGTTATAATATTTAATTTGTTATGAATAAAAATCATTTTTTTTTGAGTGCATTACCCAGTTCTCGTACATGTCTCAAGGACATGTTCATGGCTGACTGCCTCCTCGCAGTTCCCGCTGAACTGAACTGAACTGAGCTGAAGTGGACTGGACTGAGCTGGCCCAAATCGCTGCAAGTGCTTTTAAGTCGTTGTCAAATGCAAAGAGCACAATAATTCAAATTTATGACGCGCAATTGTGCTCACACACTTTTCCTGCGCCTCCTTTTGCCTTTTCTGCCCCGCGGCCCTCGAATTCGTCCTTTTGGCAGGCATAAATAAAGGAAAACTTGGAACGTGCGTCCAGCTGAGTGGGCGGTGGCTCGTCATGGAGTATGTAAATTTACTGTCCTCGGAGAAGGGGAAAAGTAGCGTAAAAATTTTATAATTTGTGGCTCTCTCACTGAACAATTATTTTATTCTTCCGTCGTCCGGTTTTCTGGTTTTTTTTTGGTATCTGGAATAGGTGAGGCCGCAAGAAAGTGAAGCTGTTGGAAAATTATCTGCTTTTGATTTACGGACTTTGTTGGACGGTGTCGTAAAATCTGCTGAAGCCTACGCCGGGTAATTTCGGATTCGGATTCGGATTCGGTGATTTGGATGTGGCTTTTGTGGCAAGTGATAATAAAACTGGGACACCAAGAAGTTGATCTGGATTTGAGTTCATGCCTTGATTTCCGATGGTTATGAAAGCTCTAGTACTCGAGAGAAATAAAAGCGTAATGAAAACAGAGAACTAGCTGAGTTATTGACCGAATATCCCATTAATTTTGTATCAAAGCGTTTCAACAAATTGCATATTTATTTAATTGCTTCAAATAAATCCCAAAATAAAAGCTATGCAGTTTCATCAACACAAAATGTCCATGGGAAACAATAAAAGTGGCATTTAGTTTGGCACTGGTATTCAATTAGACGACCAACGACTGCATATGCCACAAGAAAAAACGTAAAGAATTATAAAGAAAATATGCACATTTGAACAATTAAAAAGCAATATCTATGCAATCATTTATGGTTCGAGGTAGCCACTATTATTTCGATTTGGAATGTGTTTGCGGATTTATAAACAAATCCCAATGCAAATCAACGACACCGAACAAATGCAGTTTGATTTATATTTATGCTGCTGCAGCGGGCGTAAAAAATCAAACGACAACTGCCAAAAAAAGTTGTAATGCCGAAGGAAACTTTGGAAAAAACCAAATGCAAATAATTGCGTCAGGCAAATAAATTAAAACAAATGCAGGGCAAATGCCGCAGTTGCTGGGCACAAAAAACGGAGGCCACACAGAAACCAGCACAAACATTGATTAATACGAGGCCAAATGCATTAGGCCAACTCACATAATTTACGACCGCCAGTCCAACTGTCTATGCATGCACAAACATTTATTTGTTTAATGCATTTTGCAGGCATATTTATATGCCGATCGCCTGGATTGCAGCTTCTGGCGCTGTTGTTCTTTTCTGGCATTTGTTTCCGATGCTGATGTCGATGGCGATACGCGGCGTATACGTAATGCGAAATGTCCTATTGCCACAACGAGAGCAAAAGCAGCAGTGGCGGCACGAAACTTGACCAGACTGTCAGCTGCACAAACAGGACTAAACCATCGATGCCTGCGGACCCGAACTCCCGACTTGCCTCTGGGTTTCAGATAGTTGATAGTTTTTTTTTGTGGCATGGTTCGTTTTAGCTGGACAGTTTCGTTTAAATGGATTAAAACAATCAATCCGTTTTTTAAGATTTTTGTTTATCACAGTATTTGACTTAAGATGGTTTTTAATGGTAGTTTAATGATTAATAAATATTAACCTATCTAAAATTATATTTTAATTATATTATATGCATTGCAAGCTGGTGCTTTAAAATAAAAGACAAAATTTAAATACAAAGAAATATTTCATTGTTGTATAAATACTTCTTTGAACAAGTTATTTTGCAGTGCAGTCACTATTACCCAATTTTCTAAAGCTTAATTTAATTTTTAAAAATGTATTTGTTGCTTAGGGTATTTAAAAGTCCGATATCCCCAAAATATAATTTTCTTGTTCTTTTAGCTGCCTTCATTGTTTGGTTGTTGTGAAAGCAGCATTTGACATGCGGGTTCAAAGCGTTTGGCAGGCTGTTTGAATTCCTATTTGCATTGCGTGTGTTTTGCTCGAATCACCTGGTCTGCGCCGACACACCTGTCCATTGCCCAACTGTCAGCACCCAACGCTCGCGAAAATATTTTTGGCAAGAGAGCAATGGCGGCGACAACGACAACGACAACGACAACGACAACGAAAACGAAACCGAAAACCCAAAAAAGATACACACGAGAACGGGTTCAATTTTGCCAGCAAGCAAAAGGCAATAAACACAAAACGCAACCAATTGAGTTCGAATGCAAATATTTGGAAACGCGTAGAGGGCGGCAAAAACACCGTTTTGGCAAAGGACTGCACGATCCCAAAAGAACCGAAGGACAACTCTCAAAATTGACATGGGAAAAATTTTTTCCCGCTATTTAACAGTTTTATACCAAGCAAGTTTTCATCGCAAGTGGAAAAGTTGGAAAGAGCTTGCCACTTTGTTTGCATTAAATCAGAGTTGAAGAGAATTCAATTTATTTATCTATAAGTTTGCTTTTCTTTTTGTTTAGATTGGTTTATATACGATGTTTAATAATATAAAACAAACATATATTTATATTTTAATTGTTCAAATATTTTATTTGTTTTCGATACACACATTTGAACCAACTTGGCTTAAATTGAATTATTATTTTCTTTGTTTATTATTTCTTACGCAGCAGCATAAAAATTAATGTTTGCGTAAAAAAATTAAAACAATTGTGAAATGTAGGTATTTGTTGAAAAGCTTAGAATGCTGACGGTATTAAATCTTTTATAAAATATGATGATAATAACTTCCACTAACTACTGCCAAATCCAACTTGTATTTGTTTCTTCCAGAGTATAATATCTAATGGTTACTACCATGAACATAACCGGATTGCCGATTATTTTCCGGCAATTAAATTTGATTTTGTCTTACTATAATTGTTATTTCCAAAAGCCAATTGCCATTTCATCTTAATCACGTCTTTAGTGGATCTGATATGTCATACTATTAGTATTTAAATTGCGCAGTGTGCAATTTCACAACTCAATGCTCAATGGACAGTTGAACTGACAACATAATTTCAGCACTTGACAACTTTTCTAATGAGAAAAAATCGGACACACAAAAACCGGAGAGTTTCTCCTTTTACGATGATATCAAGCAATTTGCTTTGAGATAGTTTCAAATATGAGAGTACAAGTTGTGTGTTCAGATGTTTTTCTTTGTAGTTGTCACTTGGCTGACCAAAGGAAAACTGTCAAAAAGCATATGACAAACATTTGTCGTCGGCTGAAAGAGTGGAAATAAGCCAGGAAAAGAAAAACACTTTTGCCATTCTGTATGCATATCAATCGAATTTAATTTCTTTGTGAAAACAAACGCAAGAAGCGGAAGGAAATGAACGGAAAATGCTTTAAGGAAGTGCGTCCTGCGCTCTCTCACTCTCTCCTGTGGACTCTCCTGTGGATACCGTCCTACTCTAGTCGTCCTCGCTGACCTCCAGAATGGTCTTGAAGGCGAAAGGCTCAAAGGCGTAACCAGCGCCCTCATAGAACTTGCTCATGAACTCCACCCTGAAAAAAAAGAGTTGGTTGGTTATACTTCTACTGAAAAAGCGGTTTCATTAAGGGGTTATATCCAGTTGCGAGGCCAAAAAAATGAGCTTTTTTGAAAATTATTTTTGGAGAGGCTATTTATTGTATGTATACGTGTTGTATATGAAAAGATAGATCATTTTTTCTAGTTTTTGAATACATTAAAAAAAAAAAAATGTTGGACTCCGTCGGTCCTGTAGAGGATCTCCCGAGGGTCCACTTCAAAAAAGGGTTTTGCGGTGAGGAAAATATCTCCGGTCCAAATGATCAGAAATTCAAAAAACCAGAAGGATTACGTAAAGAATAGACAAATGCTGGTAATGAGACTTGGGATTTTCAAAATTTTGATTTTTGACGAAATGGCGGCTTCCCAAACATAAAACTTTGTTTTTGGCACAAAAATTTCAACTTTGAAGTGGCTAAAAAAATCGAAATTTTTGTCGGAGCCAAAATTCCAAGTCTCATTACCTGAAAAAAATATCTAAGAAGAGAATGTGAAAGGTTCAAGTCAATCGGACAAGCCGTCTCGGAGAAATTTTCCTCACCGACTTTGAAGACATAGTTTCGAGAAAACGCACTTAAAGTTTTGGCTACTAGTTGAACTACATGGGAGGCGTCTTTACAAATACACTGATTACTCCAATACTATTTACCGGAATACTTTGAAATTTTCAGACAATCTTCTTAGATATATATACATTCAAAATAGGCAAAAAAAAAATTTCGATTTTTTCAAAATCGCAACTGGATATAACCCCTTAAGTCAATCTCACCAATGCAAACGCAGTGTGTGCAGGAAGGCCGAGAGTCCTTCGATGAGCACCAGGATGCCAACTGTGAGCAGGGACCAAGCCCAGAAGAACAAGTAGATGACGATGCCACCAATGTAGCTATCGAACTTGAAGCTCTTTGCCAGCACCATGCTCCACAGCACTTCGGAGAGCTCTGCAAAAGGGAGTATCGCATTGATCAGACACTTTTCGGGCCAATTAGGTCTATTAAATTATCGCATAATAAAACCCTATCAATTTGCGACATTTACGATCCCCAATTTTAGCTTAAATTGCCTAAAATCGTGACTAATAAATGCATTATTGCTTTTTGAAATTACGCAAAGCTTTGCGTGCCGAGTATAACATTTTGCTGCTCCATTTTTACTATTTAATGGAATAAAAATATTAAAGTTGCTATTGGAATTGTACACATATTTACGAATTTAATAAAGATATAAAAAAATCCATTGAGTTGTTCTCTAATCTTTTAAAAGTGTATACAAACATCAACTTATTAAAACATTAAAAAGCACTTATCAAAAAATTCTCAATTTATAAAATTGTATTATTATTATTTAGAAATCAATTAGTAAATACGACTACTTTTTAAATTAACCTATCTCCACTTGTCATAACTTAAATGCTTTTTTAGGCTTGCCACAGCAGAAACAAATTAATTAAATAGAATGTACGAGTAAGTACCCTCATATTCTACATTAAATAAAATAGAGCAAATGGATTGAACTTACGTGCATGGGCGAGGGAGAGGGCCCAGAGGCGGAGGTAGGAGGCCGTGTGGGAGACCGTGCTGAGGACGTACTCGATGGTGTGGATGGCCTGGTGGATGAAGATCTCGCCCATGGGTTCGTCGTCGCCATGACCACCGCCGCCTCCGCCTCCCTCGCTTTGGGGCTTTGGGGTAGGGGCTCCGCTGGCCTTTCTCTTCAACATGATGTAGAGGGGCTTGCCCAGGAGCATCCAGGGAATGCACAACACGGCGATGATGACGAAGACCTGCTGGATGCTCTTCTGGCTCTCGAACATGAACTCCTTGCACGGCTCTGGGGTGTCCTGGCTGCCCTGCAGTATCATGTTGATGAACAGGATCAGGATGGAGGGGGCACAAGCGGGCGAGAGGGGACCCTCAACGGTGTCGTTGTAGGTGACGAACTTGTAGAACATCATGAAGACCATGTAACCGAAGAGCAGCACCAGGAAGAGCACCTGCGGCAGGAATTCCAGGAAGATGCTGGCCCACTTCTTGTAGTAGGCGAAGTTAATGACCGACATGCAGACTCCGAAGATCATGTGGAGCACTCCCACGATGATCGACAGCTTCATCTTGAAGGTGTTCAGGAAGATGATCTTGTTGTCGGCCAGCTGCCAAATGGGATCCACACCCAGAGGATACGTTTTGAAAACCGTGTCATTTGGCCTGAGGGTGATGGCCTTCAGATTTTCATCTTCAACCACGGCTCTCGTGTAGTTCATGTGCCAACCGGAACCGAAGAGGTTCATGGACTTGGAGAACACATCGTTGTAGATCAAGCCAGTGTAAAGGGAGAAGAGACCCATCAGAAAGATGATGTAGCGACCGCCAAAGAAGATGTTGAAGATCTCCTCCTTGATCGACGCCAGCTGCTTCTCCTTGATGATCAGGAAGGCGGCGAAGAACACGAGGATCAGACCGTGTCCCATGTCACCGAACATAAGAGCGAACAGGAAGGGGAAGGTGATGCAGGCATAAAGAGCAGGATTCACTTCCCTATAGGAAGCCATTCCATAGGAATCAACCAAGTTCTGGAAGCCACTGGTGAACTTGTTGGTTCTCGTGTAGGTTGGTGGCATTTCGTTCGTTTCAATTACGTTCATAAAAGCTGGAATGGAACTCTCCGAGATCTTCGAGGCTCTGGCCAGAGCTTCTTGGACCGTGGAAATGTCGTTGGTGGGCACCCAACCCTCGCCAATGAGGCACTTTCCGGTCACATCGGGATTGAAGTAGTTGAGGATGTGGTAGATGGCCTTCATTTTGCGCACCATGATTGACCATCTTGGCAAATGCTTGGAGGCAGAGTTCAACACTCGACTGCGGTGATCGGCACTCTGGCTGAGGACCAACTTAAGATCTTCCAGGCGGACATTCACGTCCTTGATCATCTCCATTCGCTCGGCATGCGAACTGGGACAGGGATAAACGGAGGCGTGATATCCAGTGCAAACCTTCTTGATCCTCTGCTTTAGCTGCTCTCCCTGGAAGAAGGCCACGAAGACGGTCTTCAGCACCGGTCTTCCGGTCTCCTCGTCGTCCACAAGTCCTTCGATGTCATTCCTTCGCAAAAAGATGTTTCCCCTCGAAATGCGCCACAACATCCGCTCGAAGCTGAAGAATCGCTCCAGCTTAATAACTCCGGCAACGAAGGCAAGTTGACCACGTTGAGCTGCCCCCTGCAGATTGTTTGGGTCCTCGGGGTCCAGCCTTCGGTTGATGTCCAGGTTGATGACCTCCTGGTCGGAGAAGAAGCCCGCCGTGTTCTCCAGCACGCTCTTGAGCTCCTGCATGTGCCGGAAGTTGGCATCCAAACTGGCTCCATTGGCAGACATCTCGCGCAGTTCGTTGTCGGTCTTCTCCAGTTGAGCTTCCAGATCGACAGCCTCGCGGGGATTCGGGGCTCCTGGTTCGTCCTCCGGTTTGAGTACGGGCAATGTGACTCCATCCTTCTTCATCTCGGACTCCACGAAGCGGAGGCGCCGCTCCATGTCATCGCATCTCCTCACCTCCGTCACGTACTTCCGCTGGAAGGCACTCACCTCCTCGTTGAGATCGCGGAACTGGACGCATCCACTCTCTCCCAACTCGGCGATGGAGGCGTAGGCCGCCTCCGGCTGGATGAACAGCTGGCACAAGGCCATCTGCTCGCTGCGGAACATGTCACCCATTATCGAATCGGGGGTCTATCACTGCAAAAAATATAGATAGAAAAATTAGTTTAATATATTATATAACGAAATAGAGCAGTTTTCTTTAGCAACTAAAGTTAAATGGTGGTCAAATACATCCCAATTAACAAAAATAAATTTTTGTTTCACTTGTTAATTGGTAGATAAAGTGCCAAACTTTATAGTAAAACATTCATGTATTCTTCTAAGAAAAAATGTTTTGCTTATTATAGATAAATAAATTATTATAAATAAGTTTCTACTCATTAGGTTCATAGAAACGAAACCTTCAAAAATATTTGTTACGTCGTAGCTTATTAGGCCCATATTTAACTCACTATTCAAGTTTATGACTAATTTATTTCCATATGACATTGTTCTTTTATTGCTATATTAAAGAATTTATTGCCAAGTAAGGCATGTGATCAAACAATATAATAGTCACCCAAATTTCCCGTTTCGATAAAAAGGGCCATTACTTAAAAAATTTGTTTACGACACTTGTCATAGTGATAGAGAAACTTGAACTTGTTGTGAAATGAAACGTCTTTTAAACCATAATTAAACCAATTATGAGAATGGGAAATAAATAATGCAGTATATTATTTAAATTAGCAAGGTTATTTATGATTTTTTCAAGCTGTAAATATTTTTTGACACTGCATGTCACACTTTGCTAATCAGTTAGGATAATGAGTTGTTTCGACGAGATTTAATGGGTCTGCCGTCTGTCAAAGGGTTTCAACATTGTTGATCCAACTGACGCACATTGTTTATGGTCGGTCCACTTGAATGCAGTCCGTTCCCTGCCAATGTCGCAATCAATCACCTAAGTGGAACTCGACAACTCAGAACAAAACCGAATCATAGAGATAAGATTAGTTTGCCTCAGCTTGTTATCTACTGGCATTCGGGCCAATCTGGAGTGTGTGTCGAGCGCTGAGCGCATTAATAATTTGAAATTATTAACAATTACCGGCAATCAGTAGGTTTATAAATAAGCCCGAAAGTCTTTTATTGCATTAACCGCTTATTATTCGGCCAGAAACTGTGTGCAGTGTCTTCTGATAACCGATTTGGCGATTTGGGTTGGCCAGATTGTAGATATTTATGGTTGGGACACTGCCGTGCTGTGATTTGAGCCCCGCCCGTCTGGCCACACAATCATGATTGACTCTCGCTCTCGACTGACTGATAAAGAGACGCGCAGTCTGTGGCCTCACTTCAACAATTTTCTGATAGTTTCGGCCTGTCGCAGATACGATTGATTTGATTTACAGCGACGGGAGGCAACTTGGCTCAAACGGAATTGTGGAATTGTGCGGAATGATTGTTGATTTCTTAATTGCACCATAAATTGTTGAATTCCTAAATGAAAAGGCGGTTTTGCAACGTTTCCAAATAGGTTAGGATTATTAAGAACTTTTGGTTACAAATTATTGAGTCATTGGCTTTCAGAAATTGCTAAGTAATTTTGAATTTAAAAAATCAGAGTACAAAGATCGTCTTTAAATTTAAATGCAATTTCGAATTAATACCGAATGAGTACAATTTCTAGAATACCTATTTAAACAACCGGGATATCAATGGCTTTTGATTACAAACTAAAATTAAAATTAAAATTTAAATTAAATCCAATTATTCATTATAAAATCTGTCTTCAAACGAACTTTGTAAAAGTTGGCCTGCTGCTTAACCAATTTTAAAAGAATTTGAACATTTTAAGGTTTCAAAAGAGATTTACTTTTTCCTTATTTGACTGCTTTCATATTTTTGTTCTTTGTTTGCACGCCAACTTGGATTTTATTTTTGGAACTGGAATTTATTTTAGCCCACAGTAGGAGAACATTTCCTTTCACAAACAGGTAAGAACTGATTGAGTGCAGCTGTCTGGGCTTCGCCGATGGCCATCTGCGGATAAATCAGTGCAAACCCAAGCTTATCGCTCCCAGTTTTGTTCATCGGCCTTAGCCATAAATCTGCACAGACCAGACAATTGCCTTTAAGTTGGCCATAAATCTTAGGGGGCAAACTTCACGCAAATGTCTGATTATCGGATGGCCAACAACCATTCCCAATCCCATTTTCATTTCCATTCGCAGTCGAAGTAGAAGTAGAAATCCCGCTGGTTTATGTCCGCAATTACGGGTTCACTGGGGATTGCGCTCCGGATTGCAGGCGGTGTTACGGGGCTCATTAAGAAATCCGTTCGTGGGCAGTAAAAATATTATCGAAGCCGCAATCGCAATCGGTCCGGTTCTGTGTGGCAAATTTCAACTTGACGTTTGAGTGGTTCAATTCACCCGCCCCACATGATCCATCACGTGCTCTGACGTCATAGGGCAATAATGGCGCCATATCGTACAAATAAACCATTTATAGTTCCATATTAGTGTCAGGCAAATTAAAATCGATGTTTAATGCACGTTAGCGAGTGATTATCGGAAACCAATTAAGATACGTTATCGTTAAAGAAATTACCATTAAGAGTAATGCAATTTTGAATAATTATGTGAGGAGTTCAGTTTCGACTGAACATTTAATTTACGGCCATTTAAAGCTTATCTGTGACAACAGTGATAACCCCAGTGTTGGCCCTAAGGGAGCTGATAATAAGTGTGTGCCAAGAAGTGGCTCGGGAATTAGGCTAACACGCGCATTAGCAACATGATTGCCAACGTGGTGAACGAGTCTCGAATTAGCCATTAAACAGTCACAAGGGGCTCGAAAATAATTTATGGGCCAGTGCACTGTTTAGTTTTTAGGATTATTAAAGGACACTTTCGACTCGGAGCACAGCACTTACACTAGAGCAGAAAAAACTTGTTAAGTTCCAATGGGAGTTATTAATTTTTCGCGACCTGCCACCTCAGCGGTGCAGAAAGAACTGTGCGATCGCCTAAGACCCGTGAGGCTCAATGGCCAATTAGAGTGGGGCTAATCTGAACAATACACGCATACACCCGGCCAAATGGGAGAGCGCACCATCATAATCTTTGTGCCCACATTTTTTATCACACGCTCCGAACCACTTTGCGATTGTGGTCGACTGGAACGAACGCCTTTGATAGACTCGCTGGCTTATCGCAATAAGCGAAAAGAGGTAATCGGCGGGTAACCGGAGCACAATTATGGCACTCCACTCCCCGATTACCGGTCACTTTTCTTGTGGTCACTTTCCAGGGCATTATCAATGATTGAGTGTAAGCACGAGTTGGGCAACACCCCGCAGTTCCATTACCTGATTGACACAACCACCCGGGGTGGCTCCTCCTCAGCTGCAGCATATGACACCCGCTGATATGCCACTGCCACTGCTGCACAGTTTATTGAGGGCCAGCCAGCCAATGATTGACGGAGTGATCAATCAATCATCGGGCCAGCGACAGTCGTACGCAAGGTGATAACCCGGTGGTAAAATGAGATGTTAGGACTCTCAATATCGGAAAATTGGCTTGTTTGCTAAGTAAAATGTACTTCGTTTTTATTAAACTTAGTTAACTTATAAAACTCATTATTCCTTTTTTCATATAATGTTTTTCATTTAAAAGGTAACTAAAATAAAAAGTGCATTTCATTATAGTTTTTAAAAACATTCCTGTTGCGTAGGAGGAAACAGAAAACACAGTTTTTAAAACAGAGCAATATAACAATACTTATAATTACTTTTTTGATTATTAAACAATTCTTTTATTATTTATTTATTATACATCGTAATATGAAAGCAACCAAAAAGGTCGTGTACTGATAGCAATAGCTATTTTTATACATATTTATTTGGCTTTGCAAATATTTATTCCAGATAAACGAGCAACCCTTTTACAGTGACTTGAAACGCCGCAGTGCAGACTTTAATAAGTTTCCCGGGCTTTAACCCGCTTATCTGCAGCCGAAGTGCCACCGCCCGAAGGAAATAACCCACCTGTGTAATAAGCAAGGATTACGGAAAGATTTCTGTCAAGACGTGTGAAGGGAAGGCTGCCTGGCAGCCTTATGTCTGCTCAATTGGTATTAGCCAAGAGTCAAGTGCTTTGTTTATCAGGCGTGTTCTATGGAAACGCTCTTAAGTACGCCGTTCTTATCTTGGGTCACGTGCTCCTGTTGGTTTGGCAACGTTTGATTACCAGAGCACATGATTCATTGAAAATTATTCACAAATTCTCTGTTCGGTTCAGGGATTTTGAGTCCTTGATATTATAATGTCCAGACAACAGGAAATAACAAAGTAGAAAGGTTGAATTAGGAACTTTATATGTTCTCTAAAAGGAAACATAATTATGAATATATTTCCGAGTTACCAAACAAATCACTAAAAACAAACCTGAATGGGTTTTTATAACAAATCATTTTCGTTCAACAAATTACAAATCTACCAAAAATAGTTTAAAATTTTAAACATTTAAGAAAAAGTATTTTGGTATTAAATAACAACAAACCGCGCATAAAAATAATTTATTAGATTTCCATTTAGAAAATCGCACACAATATGATTTTGATCTTCTAATTAAGCAATATTTATTTGTTACGAGACGTAGCTTCGTATCTACAGACGTCACAATATTATACAATATTATCATTCCCGCAGATGACGCGAATTCGTAGGAACTGCATTAGCTGTGTAATTAGTATAATTTTGGTCGCCACTTGAATGATAAGCTGCCCATTTTTTTTTTTTTTTTTGGTGCGCCGATAATGGGTGACCACCTGCCAGAAGTCCTGGCCATTACAAGCCTTCGGTGCAGTTTGCTAATTAAAAATTTCCACTTAATGAGCTTAAGCATCTTGATTTATGCTATTTAAATGAGCTCAAATGCACTTTTTCGCACACACGCAGGAAGGGGCGCAAAAACGAGGGGACGACCGCAAATAAATCGCATACAACTTTAAGCTGCAACAACATCATCATCCTCGTGGCGCGGCCCCTAATGCCACATAATGATGCTGATAATGGCCGTCAGTTAGCGAGTGTGTGTGTTTGTGTGTGTGAGTGTGTGAGTCTGTTTGTTGCCAAGGAGAGAGGATGAAAAAGGAATTTAGCAGCCAGCACGTTCAACTTTTCGCTGTTGCACATTAAATGGGCCAGAGACTGGGGGCCACGTGTTGGACTCTCGCTATTGGTAAATGTGCGTCACCATTCCGTCTGCTCCGGACCAAAAAACGCATTTGCAGCTCAAGCATGGCACTACTACAAAAAGTTACAAAAAGGATTTTGTTTTCATACATTTATTAGAAGCAATTAAATTAAGTTAGTCGTTTGATATTGGCATGGCATTTCAGAAACTGTTATTTTCGTAAAAAGTTAAAATCAAAACTCCAATTTAATCTTTGAGTTAAAAAATTGAGCTAACATCTTAAGTGGTGAATAAAAATCTAAAACTATTATTTTATCTAAAAATATAAAACCTGTTTTAATCATATAATCAAGTTAGCACACATCAATTTCAGGTGTAGAAATATTTATTTCTTATGTCAGCGTGAACGAGATAAAAATGTTTGAAAAAAAATGTCTCTATGAAATTTATTTTAGTTTTCATTGTCTATGTTGGGCTTATCGTGTTCAGCTAAGCACAAGCCGATAAAAATACAACAAAATATTTACTCGTCAACAAAAGCAAAAATTGTAACTTTAAAATTGTCTTTAGGAAATTAAATTTTGATTTCATTATCGGTGTCAGTCTTATCAATATTTAGCTAAGCACAAGCCAATAAAAATAATTGAATTTTATTTAGATTGTAAAATTGGAAGAGATAATAAGCAATCTTGACAAAAAAAATGTTGCTATAAATTCCCAAACTGAAGTCCGCAGTCAGTTTTTCCCAGTGGAGCACTTCCGCGGTGAATTTCGGGACTCTGCCGAGTGCTTTCGGCCATGGCCAATAACTAAGTTGTTGCGTGCGGTACTCTGGATTAGTCTAATGCCAATATGTACGAGCTGCAACAAAATGGCCGGCGGTGTAAGAGCTTTTTGGTGCGGTTTGCCGCACAGACGTGCAGCCAATTGGATGCTGATGTGTTTACGAACGAAAAGCGCAGATCTGGCCGGTTTTATGGGCCGATTTCGCAGTTGCAATTGCAGTTCCCGTGGCACTGGCCGTCTCGTTATCTTTAGTGATTTTCGGTCGGGTTTTATAGAGGGTAAACACATGCCAAAAATGGAAATCGTGTGTATACTGGGGATAGTGAGTCAGAATTCCCGTAAGACGGGGGCTTATCAGTGGGTTATCTTTTATGGCCCCGGTTTATCGTCGTTTACACTCTTGATTAAACAATTAGGCACTGTGTGTGCCCTTGATTTATGCTTTACTATAAAAGGCGAATAAAATTCAGTTTACAGTCTAAGTTGCTTTTAATTTTGTTTGCGTTGAGCTGGCAGTTTTTCGCTTTGTTTTCATTTTTGCCAACAGCACTTGGAAGGTGGGGAAAGTGTATATAGTAAGTGTTGCCTCTTGATGGTTCATAAAATAAAAACTAATGTTAAATAAATAAGAATGGCCCCAAATGAAATTAAAGAACCCAACAGAAAAGAACAATCAGCACGATTACGAACTAACAAAAAGAGAACTCACCTCGACCTAACTTCCACGCCCCCTTTTCGCCCACATCAAGGGTACCCAAAAGTATGTTACGTAAAATTTAACATTAACAACAGCCGTGGCAGCAACGTCATTTCGTATTTATTGTATTACCTTTGTCAGCATATCTAACATTTATTCTTTGTTTCGCCGCTCTTTCGGGCGATGTTTAATACTTATTATTTTTTGTTGCTACCGGGGGGCTTTACTGTTATTGCCTCGCCTCGGTGTTTTTTTTCCGTTGTTTTGTTTTCCATTCAAGATGAAAAAATCCAATTTTCTGCTTAAAGCATTTTCATAATGCCAAAGCCCCAAAAACGTTTCCCCCTTCCCACTTTTCCCCCCACCAAAATCCCCCAGCGAAAAGGGTTCAGCCATTGTTGCCGTGCTGCTTTTCACTTTTGTTCCGCAATAATGTACGTAATTTGTTCAGAAATGAAAATGTGTGAAAATGTTGGAAAAACCCGCGCTAATATGCCATGCCACATGCGAAATGATATATGGTTGTGGCTAAAACAATGTTAAGGGTTACACAACAATTGCGGCCAGTCTAGACAATAAATTTATTTGTTGGTTGTGTGTTTATTTGGAAAAGTGAATGGGCTTTGCATAATTTTTAGTGCGAGGTGAACATTGTAATTTTTTTCTAAAAATAAAACAAGAATGAGTGTATCTTAATTCTATTTAGTTGCTTGTTACATTTAAAACATACATCTTAAAATTAGAAACGATTATTTTGCTTGTGCAGATGGAGTTTTCAGAAATCTCCCATCATCATTGCCCAAATTTCTAAAAAATCCATTCACTTCCAGCTTCGCTTTGTTTCCTTACTGTAGTTTCAGTACCTGTTAAATTTTTTACCGAGTTTGCGGTAATGGCAACCGCAGTGGCAACTCACCGCCGTCACCTGCCCCGAACAGTGACAATTATGGGCATTGTTACGAGCATTACGTATACGCCGCGTTGTGCGCCAGCTCAGCTGAAATGCATATCAGTTTGGAATTATGCAGGGGAACAGGAAAAAACGGAAAAGTAAACCGAGTGGGGGCATAAAGCCGCGCTGCGTCATGTCGTGCATAAAAGTCAACTGTTGCGTTCCCCCGCGCCACTCAGCCGATTTCAAACAATGGAGGATATATCCTCGTAGTGGCCCCTGCGAGTCTGCCGTGCTTGTCTCAATTTGCTCTCTGCTGCGTGGCGTATGCTCAACTATATTATATGATTATTTTTTATTTTCATCTTCATTGTTATGGCTGAAGTGTTATGGACCAGCCTGTTGCTCATATATGCGATGTACTTTGTCTAAATTGAATTATAAAACAGATCAGCAAAGT